TTAACTGACTTATTATCAAATGTGCTGTAACATGTAAACAGGATCATGAAAGGAACAATCAAAAACCAAATCATGTAAACACAATCATATTATTGTCTTAAGCTGCGGTCACACTACACTTTTCTCTCCATAGACTTCCATTCAGGCACGTGCACAGATAGGGCTCAACTTGAGCATTGGACATGCCCTTTTTTCTCTTGGATAAAACATGCCTCTCAAAAATAAACGAAAGTGCCCCGCGAGCTTGTGATCGCCACCCCAACCGCAACCCGCGCTTGTCAATTCTTTCAGCACGTGCCCCTTGGAAAGTCTCTGCAGTCCTGTTTCCATGCATATGCAGGCAAATGCGTCAGACCGGAAACGCAAGCTCGTGTGACCACAATCACATTCTGACCTGCTAAAAATCGCATCATGTGACTGTGAAACCAATCAAAGATCAAAACATGACCTCTTTGGCCAGAAAGTTAAAATATGGACCAATCGCTCCCTTTTTTAAAGTTCTAATCATCTTGTTTAATTTTTTCTCGTTTAAAAGTCTAGTGTGACCGCAGCTTTATTCAGATCAAGGCAAATCATTTGATCACTGATGTCCCTGTATATATTGTTAGTTTACCATTTCTGTCAGCCTGCTTTCACGAGAAAATTTACATTTTAAGTGTTCAGAAAGGTGGCTAATTTGAATGCATTTAGATCAATTAAGTTGTACAAAAGTGCCCCTAAAACCCAGCCCTGAACCCAACCAATTTAGAAATACACAAATCTATTCAATCGCATGGCAATTCAAAACTTTGATTTAGTGGATGAAATTATACGTTCTCATTTGCACATTTTAGTACGAATTGCTCATCTGTCAGTGATGGGTAGGTTTAGAAGTGGGTGTGAAAAACAAACAAACAAACAAACAAACAAACAAACAAACAAACATGTTTTCGTATGAATAAAATCAAATGAGTTTGTACAAATTAGAGCAACTTTTCTAACAATAAAGAAAATAGTTCTGTTTCCTCATGAGATCGGGCACATGTTTAATGTTTCCTAATTAAATGTCAGCAATTATTGGCACCAGGCCTTTTGCATATTACCGAGAATCTTTCATGGTTTACATTATGGTTTTAAATAAATTGTAATATATTTAGAGAGACAATGGCTCAGTGGGTAAAGATTTCGCCTCACAGCAAGAAGGTCGCTGGTTCGAGCCCCAGCTGGGTCAATTGGCATTTTTGTGTGGAGTTTGCATGTTCTCCCCGTGTTGAAGTGGGTTTGCTCCAGGTACTCCGGTTTCCCCCACAGTCCAAACACATGCATTATAGGGGAATTGAATAAACCAAATGGAATGTATTATATGTGTGGGTGCGAATGTAAAAGTGTATGGTTGTTTCCCAGAGTTAGGTTGCAGCTGGAAGGGCATCCGCTGAGTAAAACACATGCTGGATAAGTTGGCGGTTCATTCCAATCCCTAATTAATAAAGGGGCCAAGCCAAAAAGAAAATAAATGAACTATTTGGTTGCATTTGTCATTTTAGTAAATGTTTATTTCAGCTTTAGAATTCTTCACCTTGAGTTAAGCAAGTACTATAAAATTATTATTATCATCATTATTCATTTTTATTAAGTTTCGGTGTCCAAGTTAAAAGAAACTAAAATGATAAAAGCAGATTTTACTTTTGTTTTTGTCACTTTCCACTTTTAGGATATGCAAGTATCAATTAGGTCAGTATTTAGTTGGGATAAAAATAAATTTAAAACTGGAAACTGAGGGATCCAAAAACACTAAACAATGAAAAACCCTTAAAAAATAATTACAAATTAAGTTTTAGGCAATGTACATTGAATGAGTAAGTATTGAACGAGTCATCATTTTTCTCAGAAACATTTCTAAAGCTGCTGTTGACATTATATTTTACCAGATGTTGGTAACAACCAAAGAAATCCATAAATGCAAAAAAAAAAAAGAAAAAAAAGAAAAGAAAAAAAAACGTGTTGAACACATGAAGAAAGGGAGGTGTAGAAAGGCAGTGAAAGCCCAGACAGCAGCTGAAATCTCTCAGTAGTTCTTCAGCAACCCCCTGCACTTCCTCAAATAAATATTAGCTGCTTCAGACCAACATCCTCATTGCAGATGGACATTTCAGCAAGACAATGATCCAAAACACAGCCAAGGAAACTCAAATGCTTTCAGAAAAAAAAAAAAAAAAGATCAGCAAGACCAGCCAACAAGATTAGAGTTGCCTATTCCCGCCTTCAGCAGCTAAAAAGGTTTGCCAATGCTTTGCTATGTAGTATTTTTCATGCGTTTTTATTTGCTTGTGTCTTGATGCACAAGGTGGCTACTTTTTTCTAGAATGTAGAAACTAGTTGAGAGCATATTTTTAGCCACTGTAAAAAATATTTTCACTGAACACCTCGATATTACAAATATAAATCCGTTAAAAGAGGTTGCCCAAACAGAGTGGACGCAGATCAAGAAACTGCAATGCGCTGATGCAGCAAGCAGAGGATCAGCAACAATTTACTGGAAATTTACTTCTCTCCACACCATGACAACACTGCGCCAAAGAGACGCCCCCACAGACAGAGGGATTTGCATTCCTGCTCAACAGAAACACAATAAAGGTCACAATCACCTCCAAGCAAAGCAAAGCCTTACTTTAGCATGAGAGATCTGCAGTGGAGCATCTTCATGTTGGAGTGTTGGACTGTAGAGTGGATCCATCACTCCTCCTGCTGGATGAACGGCGGAATTACAATAACAATGCAACTCAAAACTCATTTTTACGACTTAATAGTTTTATCAAGTAGTTTGAAGGCCATAATGATAAAGCTGTTGGTTATTTATTTAGATATCAATACTATGACACTAAATTATTTGTGTATAATTTAATCTGGGTTATGAGTGTTAAATAACGACGACCACCTCACATCAGGCCTACCTGGTTTCCATAAAAAAAATGGACACATTTAGAGTCATTATATTTTCCAAAAGTACAATAAAGCATTAAACACATCAATTCAATTGTAAAACTGATGGACATTGTTCTGTGGATTATTTATTGTTTTGCAGTTATCCTTTAGCAAAATCCCTGAGTCTTGCAAATGTTTATATAAGAGAAAAAGAAACTTGAACAATTACTAATTTAAAATAAGAATAATAATAATAATAATTATATACCTAGTTTATCCACTAAGTCTAAGACAATGGGTTTACTTGCTTTTTTTTAGTGTAAACAAATTGCTTTTAAAGCAATGGGTTACTTGCTTAAAGTATAATCATTTTAAAAAGCAACAGCAGGCTTACTTTTAGAAAGTAAAGCAATGTTTACACATTAATTTGAAGTCAATTCAACTAATCCCTTTAAAAAGCAACTGGTTTTCTCACTTTAAGTCAACTAATCACTTTAAAATCAATGGGTATGCTCACTTTTTAAAAGTAAAGCAATAGGTTTACACTTATTTCAAGTATTAAAAGGTTAAACTAATCACTTTAAAAGCAACTGGTTTACTACTAATCGCTTTAAAAACAACGGTTTTACTTTTTTTTTTTTTAAGCAAAGGGTTTTACACGCTTATTTCAAGTAAAATGTCCACTAATCATTTTAAAAGCAACTGGTTTACTCCCTTTCAGTCAGGAGTGTCCAAACTCCTGGTGTCCTGCTGAGTTTAGCTCCAACTTGCTTCAATACACCAACCAGAATGTTTCTAGTATGTCTAGTAAGAGCTTGATTAGCTGCTTCAGGGGTGTTTGATTAGGGTTGGAGAAAAACTCTCAAGGACACCGGCCCTCCAGGACAGAGTTTGGACAGCCCTGCTTTAAGTCAACTAATCTCTTTAAAATCGTTTACACTCACTTTTTAAAAGGCAATAGGTTTACACACTAATTTGAAGTAAAATGTCCACTTATTTTAAAAAACTTAAATACTTCTCTTTAGGGTTTACTCACTTTTATTAAAGCAATGGGTTTACACACCTATTGTATGTAAAATGTGCACTAATCACTTTTAAAGCAACTGGTTTACAACTATTCGCTTTAAAAACAACACCTTTACTCACTTTATTAAAGTAAAGCTACGGATTTACATGCTTATTTCAAGTAAAACGTTCACTAAACACTGTAAAAACAACAGGTTTACTTACTTTAGGTCAGGAGTGTCCTGCTGAGGTTAGCTCCAACTTGCTTCAACACACCTGCCAGAAAGTTTCTAGTATGTCTAGTATGAGCTTGATTAGCTGCTTCAGGTGTGTTTGATTAGGGTTGGAGCTAAACTCTCTAGGGCAGAGTTTGTACAGCCCTGCTTTACGTCAACTAATCTCTTTAAAAACCGTTTACACTCACTTTTTAAAAGGCAATGGGTTTACACACCAATTTAAAGTAAAATGTCCACTTATTTTAAAAACAACTAGTTAAATTCTTCTCTAGGGTTTACTCTTATTAAAGTAAAGCAATGGGTTTACACACCTATTTTAAGTAAAATGTGCACTAATCACTTTTAAAGCAACTGGTTTACAACTATTCGCTTTAAAAACAACACCTTTACTCACTTTATGAAAGTAAAGCTACGGATTTACACACTTATTTCAAGTAAAACGTTCACTAAACACTTTAAAAACAACTGGTTTACTTACTTTAGGTCAGGAGCCCTGGCCAAAAAAGTTTCTATATCTAGAAAGAGCTTGATTAGCTGGTTCAGGTGTGCTTGATTAGGATTTGGCGCTAAACTCTCTTGGGCAGAGTTTGGACAGCTCTGCTTTAAGACAACTAATCATTTTAAAAACTCGATTACTCACTTTTTAAAAGGCAATGGGTTTACACAATTATTTCAAGTAAAATGTCCACTAATCATTTTAAAAACAATGGGTATACTGATTTTTAACTCGACTAATCACTTTACAATATAATAAAATTTAACGAGCCACAAACTCTTCAAACATAATGTTTGATATCAATGTTAATGTATTGCATTAAGACATTTCCTACAGGTAAAAAAACACATCCATAATGACCGTTTGGATTTTCAAGACCTTTATTGAAATACTAAATGCGTTTAATTCATCAACACATGGCAGTAAAAAACAAAGCAAAACAAAACAACGAGTGCTTGTCAAAGCCCTGCAGGGGTAAATATGAAGCATGACGCCTAAAACAGCACTCTAGATTAAGAGACACGTTCCTGTGGCTGTGATTAAGTACAATTAAAAAAAAAAATCTTCAGTCAAAACACTAATTACTCAAAGAAAACTCCTTTGCAACCACATTTAAAAAGAAACAGCTATAACACACACTTCTGTTTGTGCAAGTGACAACCAATGGAATAATCTAGACGGCAGAAACAAAGTTTTTCATTAATGGAAAAAAGTGAAATGACAATTCAGACAACCCCAATACATTATTCTGAAGGGTTCAAATAGATCTACAGTAATACAGTATCACAAATGCTGTCAAAATCATAACTCAGCTCATTTATTGTGCTGAAAACACAGGAGTTTGCAAACTGAGTGCTCAAGGAATGAAATAACTCGATTACAGTTGTCAATAGTTCTGTAGGCGCTTCCAGCGGACTGTTTAAGCCGAATAGATTGTTAAAAATGACACATTACTAGCTGTAGAGGAGATCTTAAATCAAACCAGCAACTCTAAGTGTTTGTGTATGGCAAATAAATAAGCATCCAGGCATCCGGCATGTTTGAAAACAAAAAGAAAATCCATAAGAATGATGCATGATGCCCTTTTTAGAGAAAAGTGTGGCGTGGAGCTCTCGTGCAGCGGTTAGCCTTTGACACACAAGTAGTCTGAGAATGCATTTCTGTTGGTTTCAGGGAAAATCTACTGTACAAAAAAATAAGGCCACAACTCTTTCCCCATTAAGAACCATTCTCGCTTTTGGCTTGTTTGGAAACCGGCTCTCCGTTATCTTGTCTGTTAGACTCGAGAGGTCTCTTCTTTGTACTGGCGCTTTCTGTTGAAAGAGAAAAAAAACATTCATTTTTCAACAAAAAATGCCAAAAACACACATTTATTCATAAAACCATACATATTCCAGCTTATATAGGTCTGTAGATGATGAGAAGCCCCATTATCAGCCACAAACAAGGCAAAAAATCTTGGATTTTTTGCTTAAATACATTTAAAATGTTTTGTCACTGAGTTCTTAAGAAAAAAGACGAGGATAAAAATGCCTCCAATTTTGGAGCAACTTTTTACAAGATGTAAAATAAGTCTTTGGTGTCTCCAGAATGTGTCAGTGAAATTTATATTTACATTTACATTTATTATATCTTGTAGAAAATGTCAATTTTTAGGTCAGTTAATCAGCTGTATTTGCGCATGTGTCTTTAAATAGAAATGTGTAAAGAAAACAGAAGTGTTATTGCAGCAACCAGGGGAGGCGCGTCCATAAAGGTGACCTAGGCAGCAGTATAGAGAGGGTGTCGTCCGCGACACCTCCCTCACCACCTGTGTCACCAGTTATATTCACGCATAGGCGACAGAATAGAGAGGGCGGCGTCCGCGACACCTCCCTCAGCACCCACGCGTCCTGTTATATCCGCGCATAGGGCGGCCTCCACGACACCTCCCTCAGCACCCGCGCGTCCTCAGTTATATCCGCGCATAGGGCGGCGTCCACGACACCTCCCTCAGCACCCGCGCGTCCTCAGTTATATCCGCGCATAGGGCGGCACAATAGAGGTCCGCGACACCTCACTTCATTTTTATAACCGGTCACTTTCGTTTTCACATTGGGGTTAAGGGTGGCGTGATCGTCCTCTGCCTAGAGCAGCAGTTCAGCTTGCTCCGGCCCTGAGAGCAACACAAACAGCGCACAGAAGTATAAATGCAAGTTTGCATGCAAGGTAGGCACCGTGGGCCACACTGATCACTCGACGCTAAAGTATAAATCAGCCTTAAGAGAGTGGAGAGAAGAGGCCAGCAGCTAGCTCTTTGCAACTCACATGGTCGCCCACTGAAGCTAAGCAGGGCTGTGTCCCGTCAGCTTCTGGATGGGAGACCACATGGGAAAGCTAGGTTGCTGCCGGAAATGGCATTAGTGAAACCAGCAGGGGGCACCCGTCCTGTGGTCTCTGTGGGTCCTAATGCCCCAGTATAGTGACGTGGACGCTATACTGCTCAGTGAGCGCCGTCCTTCAGATGAGACGTTAAACCGACGTCCCGACTCTCTGTGGTCGTTAAAACGTTAAAATCCCAAATTCGCCCACTGGTCTCTGTCCATCATGGCCTCCTAACCATCCCCATATCATAATTGGCTTCATCACTGTGTCTCCTCTCCACCAATCAGCTGGTGTGGGATGAGGAGATTCCCCGATTGTGTAAAGCGCTTTGAGTGGCCAGAAAAGCGCTATATAAATGTAAGAAATTATTATTATTTTTATTATTATTATAAGGGATTTTAATTGTTGGATAATTGTTTAATGAGTGTGAATCATGACCTTCTAAAAATAAACACTGGAAAAAGTGTGAATTTTACCCATATATGCGCATTTTACTGAAAATCTTTTATACTTGTATAGCACTTTCACAATAATTATCATTCCAAAGCTTCACAAAAGTTGCACACTACATTAGCTAAAATCAGAGAAGTTAAGGGGTTGGCAATATATAAGCAGTTTCCTGCAGTTACACGGGGTCGTTCCAAAAGATATAATATTTACATGTAATAGTAACGCATGTTCAGTGAAGTGTATTTTTTACATTGTGTTTGTTGTCCTCGAATAACCCATAGTATTAAGCGGGACAAACAAGAAAATCAATCAAGAAGAAGAAAAAAAGTAAACCAGAGTGTCCCTTTTACCTTCATCTCCCTCTTCATCGCTATCAAACTTGGTCTTCTTTCCCTTGAACTGAGTGTGTTCTCGTCCTCCTCGGTCTCTGCGGCCTCCTCGTCCTCTTCCTCGACCCCTGAACCCTCCTGCAATCACAGTGTAAATGTGGTAAACAGTGGGTTTAGACCGTGGCATGTGTCTTCATGATGTCCTGTGATTTACCTCGGCCTCCTTTGCGTTTGTTTATTGACTCCTGCTGATCCTCGATGATTTTCTTCAGTGTTTCCATCTCCACGTCTCCCTCCAGAATCTCCCACTGAACGGCCTGCTCCTTCACCTTGGGATCCTCCCCGTTGAGAGCCTCTCGGACTTTCTGGAGAGCCTCTTTAGCGTTGGAGTGGAACAGGATGGTGCCCTGAGCAAAGTAATGGACGGAAGACAACTTTACAGGTGCAGTATGGGGGATTGACAACTTGTGGTTGAACTAAAGGTGCTAAAAAGGTCTTAAATTTAAGACAGTTTTTTCTTACAATTTCTGTTTTAGGAAAGGACTGAGCAAAATCTTTGTAGGTTTAATACAGAGTTCCCTAATAATAAGGCTTTATTTTTTATTATTGTGTTTATTATGTACTTTTAAAATCACAAGAAGCTTTTTAGTTCTGTAGCTGATTGTGACAAAACAAGTCTGCCTGTTCAATATAAAAAGCAAGCACTGGAGAACTGTTGCTTATTCCTGCTGTACTGTACTGAACCATGACCCCAAAGCACATACCAAACCCTGACTCCAGTGTATCGTTACACCCCTAAAATCTATATGAATCTTATTTCAAAATCATTTAAATATTAGATTACTACAGCAAGACATTTAAAATGATGTTGTCCAGACTGAATAACCACTGACTCTCAGTCCTCACCTCTTTAGCTCCTCTGGTGAAATCAATCCACTTGATTTGAGCGTGATCAGAGAAGACGGAGTGAAAATCCTCCCTTGAGGTCTGACCCAATTCACCAGAGAACTTCAGCAGGCAGCCTCTCTGCTCATTCAGGGATTTCTGGGCAAACAAAAGAGTTATATCATTGAGCAGCTTTAAAAAAATATCGTATTTTTTGTATGCATGTAAACTGTCTACACAGTTGTTAATAAAAGAAGTGCATGATAAATAAAAATAAAGCCTCTCAACAGAAAGTGTCTGCTCTGAATCACTTTAATGAATCATCATATTTCGACATCTTTTGCTTGCTACTAATATACACTATCGCTCAACAGTTTGGGGATTTTTTTTTTTCACCTTGAATTGAGCGTATCAAGAGGAAAGCGTGGAGAGCAGAGAGAGGCGAAGAATTGGCAAAAGACCTTGAGGCAGGAATCATACTCAGGTCGCCGTGAGCACCGGAGTGCATGTGTCGACGCACTAACCACTACGCCATTAGTGCCGACAAGTTTGTTGATTTTTAAATGTTTTAAAATTAGCTTCTCCTGCTCACCAAGGCTGCATTTATTTAATTAAAAATACAGTGCGTATGGTAGAATTGTGAAATGTTATTGCACTAAAGAAATTACTGTTTAAAAGTAGTTTATCATTTAATTAAAATATTTATTCCAGTGATTTTAAAGATGAAATACTCCAGTCTTCAGAGTCACATGATCCTTCAGAAATCACTCTAATAATAATAATTATTGTTACTATAATTACTGGTAATAGTAATTAAAGCAATAATGACTAAAGTAATAATTTCATTTGAAACAAGATACAATAAGTAATAAATAAATATTACATAAATAAGTATTTAACATTTTACATTTAATAAATGCCGTACCTGTAACTTCCATTTTTTCTTACTATGGATGTTAGGGGTTTTCAGCATTCTTCAAAATATCTTCTTTTGTTTTCAACAGAAGAAACTCAGTTTCATCATCAGTTGAGGGATAGTAAACAGCGCCCAAATTATGTTTAGTATTGCAAATTACGTGAACCCAAAAAATACATTAAGTGAACTATACCTTAAAGCCATAGGTCTCAAACTCAATTCCAGGAGGGCTGCAGCTCTGCAGTTTTGCTGCAACCTTGGTCAAACACAGCTGATCCAACCACTGAAGGTGTTCATGACTCCTTTGAACACCTCAGTTATTTGGATCAGCTGTGTTTGATTAGGGTTGGAGCAAAACTGTGCAGAGCTGCGGCCCTCCAGGAATTGAGGGCTGGTGTCCTGTGGATTTTAGCTCCAACCCTAATCAAACACACCTGAATAAGCTAATCAAGGTCTTACTAGGTATACTTGAAACATCCAGGCAAGAGTGTTGAGGGAGGTTGGAGCTAAACCCTGAAGGGAAACTGGCCCTCCAGGACCGAGATTGGTGACCCATGGCTTTAGGCCTTAAAATAACTAAATTGAAACTATTGCAAAATGGAATTCTGGGAAAATGACAATGTTTTCTAGTCGTACATGCATTTGAGCCTGTTATAGGGACCAACTTGTGACCGGCTCTTTGGCATAATCACATTAAGCTTCACAGCATGAACTCACCATCTCTTCTTCTTCAGCCTGTTTCTGCTTTTCCTCTTTGTCACTGAAATTCAAAGATTGAGCTATTAGAAACATTCTCCCCTCTTCTCACTTTGTTTGTAGAGCATACTACATGTAGTGTTGTGCTTTACCATTTGGCTTTAGCTTTAGATTCCACACGGTTCTGCTTCCTCTCAGCTATCTTTTTAGTAAAGTAGGCATCTCTATGGACAGAGGTTAAAGGTCAACAGTGTATTCAGAGCCATTGAGTTATTAGGTAAACACGCAGAACAGCACAAAGAGATAAACGAGAAACTGCACCGCATGAGCACTGACTTCATCATGACGATCATCTCGTTTCCTTTGAAATTTTTGATGTCGTCACGCTCGACAAAAGCCTTGGCAGCTTCTTCAGTTTCCAAAACAGCAAAGATTGATCCCTGCAGAGAACAAAAACAGTGAACTAAAAACAAAAACAAAACTAGTGTTCAAATATTGTTAAGCTACATTGGTGTTGTCACGATACTGGAATTCATTACTAATCGAATTTCATGCTAACATTTGAGCGCTGTTGAGCATGTTCTTCAAAAGCTATGATTTGCCATTGTGTTCACATGCTCAACAGAAATCACTGTGATTGGCTGTAAAGGTCATCTGTTCACCAAACTCTATATATATATATAACTTTTTAAAACTATTTTACTACTTCACCAAATGTATATAATCTATAGGTTACTACTGTGAGAAAGTATTAGCATTTGGTACATACTTCCAGCATTACCTTTGCTTGAAATGACCCGCTCTAATCCTGTTTATATGAAATAAGCTGCTGCTCCCGAGCAGGTTTGAGCTACCAGAACTGTTGCTATGACAACAACTCTCTGATCGGTTTTGAAGAACGAAACAATCCTAGATTGTGTCAAATCGTCAATAACCAAATCTAGCTAATGGAGTAATCCACGTATAAAGAACAAACTCCTAAACAATGCTTCACAACGACAACCGTAATGTAGCTCATGTTTCCATTGTCTCTGAACCACCAAACGGTCCAAACCCAGCGCATTGTATGGATGTTTACTGTGCATCTTCAGAATCATGTGTTCTCAATTAAATCACTGCGGCTTTTATTCAAGTATGTTGTTTTCTTCCAACTTAAACTGAATATTGAGTGGTTTCTATGCACATCATTACTGCATAGCAAATTAACAGTAAGGGGGCGTGGTTAAGAATACTGTTGCTAAAGCCGTCGGACTGAAGGAGCGCCACTCCAGGTCAGCCTTTGATTAAAGATTTCACCTAAAAAATATTTCAGTGGATTAACATGGAGCAGTTGTTCATCTAAAGCAGAGGTTCCCAAACTTTTTAGCTTGCGAGCCCCAAAATAACAATGCTAGTGACTCGCGATCCCCAATATCCTCTAAGGTGGTTATATATACACAGAAACCTTGCATGCAACAATTTTTCTCTTCAGTAGTTTATTGTTAAAATATGGTAATTCTTATGGTTTAATATAAAAAAACAGATTTTTGGAAATCACCAGGCGACCCCCCTTCATTGTCCCGCGACCCCTTGGGGGGTCCCAACCCCCACTTTGAAAACCACTGATCTAAAGAATAACAATGTGTGCTGTCAAAATAAACATTGTACATTTCAGAAAGAAAAATCCACTACCTTTTAGGACCTTTAAGACTCTTTCCATACATCAAGACCTCATTGTCACTTTAGGTTTCAACTGGTAACGTTGGCGACATTTTAACTTACAGTATATTCTCTAAATACTGATTGTAAGAAACTAATCCAAAACTAAAAGATGATACATATAATAAATAACAAAAAGCTAATCCAGAGGGTGGTGCCTATAGATCAGCATGAATAATAGTGTTCCCTTGGCATTTAATGTAGCATTTAAAACTTTAAGGGCCTTAAATATCCAAGTGGTGCTCAATGCAGAGCCATTTGGGCGAGCTGAGCTCCAGCGAGGGGGAGCTTGAGCTCCACTTTTTTGCACTTCTACGAGTGATGTCACTGGGGGTAGGGTTAGGGGTGGGGTTGGTGTACGCATTAAAACAGCTTACAGGAGGCAGAGCGAGAGCTCATGCTCCCCCTCGCTGGAGCTCAGCTCTGCTCAAATGGCTCTGCAGCGAGCACCCTCTCTAAATATCTCTGAATTGATTTATTAACTTTTAATATTTTTTAAGACCAGCGAACACCGTTTAAGCTCACTTAGACTCTGTTCAACTCTTACTTTGAAGGTTTTCTGGGGTCCTTTCCTCAGGTAGATGTTTTCAAATGTGCCTTTATCAGCAAGCCACTCTTTAACATCATCCAGCGTAGTTTCAAGAGGAAAGCCTTTCTGTTGAATTAAAACATTAAAAGTCACCAAACAGTGTCCCACGGTGGATCTGTCAGTTTTATAGAGCTGTTAAAATAACACTATGAGCTGTTTGTTTTAGAGCAAAGGCAGCCCAGCGAAGCAGAATGAGAAACTTAATGTCATTGTTCCTATTCGCTCACCATGTAGATGGATTTGTGTTTGAGCGCGTCCCTGTATTCCTCGTTGTTCTCAGGAAGGGGTTTGTTCGGATCTCGTCTTATTTTGGTTTTGTCTTCGCTGATCTCCAGCAGGCCTGTTTTAGACTTCAGCAGCGACTCGACAATGACTGATTCCTCTGACGTGAGACTTTTGAGTCTGTGAGGGCAGATACACGATGAGAAACAACATCCTGAGCCTTCCTTAGCTTTATGATGGAGAAATAGACCAACATTTAAAGGTCACATCAAATTAAAGTTTTTTAGATGCAAGCATCAGCATTGTTTGTTTTTATAACATCTATAAGCTAGTGCGCACCAAAACAGTGACAAAATTCACATTTAGGAGATATAAAACAGATGTAAGCTTGTGGTTTTGCCATGTCTGCCTAAATGGATCTACGGTTTTATTCATGTCATCTCATACTTCAGTTTCTCATTAAAAATTCTGACCAATCACATGCTTTCTAGTATCTGACATGTGCCACCCCCTTTAAGATGCTTCACATTTGATGTGCTTGAGCTCAACCACATTTTGGGATGAGTTTCCCAAACAACGACGCAACTCCCGACTGAACTATCATAGTACGATGCATCGTTTGGGAAAAGAACAATGTAGTGACGAGTGTTTCCCAAAACCTGTAGTTTCTCTTTCGCAGATCCATCGCTTGAACCACGTTAGTTATAACATACAACACCCATAATGATGCTCTAAACTGGGTGGAGTAACTACTTCTTTAGAGAAAAACCCCATAGTTTCTTTGTGTGAATTATATTGTTTTACACGCACACGCATTTAAATAAAATCCCATATAAGTTTTGGTAAAAACATGCACTCGCTTTCCATATTAACTGAACTATATGTAAATGGGACAAATAGGGCCTGTGTTTCCTTTACTAATATTATTGAGAAGTTAACCACTACACATTCTATTCTAAAACATATCACTTACAAAAGCTAACATGTATTCTAATATCATATATAAATCATATAAATAAATAAATGAGGCTATTTATTATAAAATGATATGTAATATTAAATAGAAATGAAAAAAAATCATACTTTAATAATAATATTAATGATGATTATGATTATTATTTAGTAGGATATTGTTTATTTATTTATTTTTTTTTAAGTCTACATTTACAATTTGACACGTGTAAACCACTGCAGAAAATTCTAACAAGCAGGCCCATGTCATATACAGTACAGATACTTAAATAATAAATAACCTACTATAAATTAAAAGAATTAACAAATGCTGTTTGTTTTTTACAAGCTTTGGAGACTTAACATAAATTCCACTTTTAAATAATAGGTCACCTATAGCTTTCATCATGAGGCTGTGTTCCAAATGACATCAATGTTTTCAAAGTGCACTGCGAAGAGAGTACAAGTGTAAACATGAAGATTGCTAAAACTGAACTGTAAAAATAGTTCAAAAGAAAAATTACACCCAAGAGTGATGACCTTAATGCTTTATTTTTAATAATTCCAACTTTAAATGTTAGATTGTTCTAAATGAATAGGGCATAGGGGGGATATGCGGGAATAGAACACAGCCAGGAACTGTTTCTATACAGCTCCAGAGGTGTGGTTGCGAGCGCTCAATTTTGCGAATGTTCGTTGGAGTGACGGATTTGGGAAACAGCAAATCAACAAACTATGTTTGTAACAACGGAAGTTGCGACCTTAATGGCTAACGATGGTTTTGGGAAACGCACCCTTGAACAGTAATAAAACTAAATATTATTGGGGTTTTTTTTTTTTTTTTTAAAGGGCCGGGGATACTCCATGTCCCACCCTCACTTCATGTTTCGGGGAAAAATCTGACATTTGCGATATGAATATAATTTTGCTAGATGATGTAAATAGCTCTATTCAGGAAGATTTCACGAGTTTAGATTGACTGGGGTGATCAAGTCTTTTTATATGCAGAAATCAGCAAAAAAATGTAATAAATGCAAGCATATATAAATATGACAGAGCAAAAATACGAGTGAAATAAACAGTGCCATATGGTTTTCTGGGAATTCTATCAGTATTCGAATACACAAACTGAACAATCAAACATAAAATAACATGGTCATCATTATATAATATCATCATATCATCTTTATCTTTTATTCTTTAACAAATAATCCTGTGGTATCCACAATAGTCACACATTGCGATATCGATGCTCAAACAATATATTGTTCAGCCCTTAAATAAATATTTAATATAATTTCCAATAAATAATTTCACTCTTAAGGGGGAACACGGTGGCTTAGTGGTTAGCACTGTCGCCTCACAGCAAGAAGGTCTCTGGTTCGAGTCCAGGCTTTGCCAGTTGGCATTTCTGTGTGGAGTTTGCATGTTCTCCCTATGTTGGTGTAGGTTTCCTCCGGGTGCCCACAGTTCAAAGACATGCACTATAGATGACTTGAATAAACTTACATGTCCATAGTGTGTGTGTGTGAATGAGTATTTCCCAATACTGGGTTGCAGCTGGAAAGGCATGCGCTGTGTAAACACATGCCCTACTAAAAAAACTGCTTAAACCAGCCTAGGCTGATTGGCTGGTTATAGCTGGTCAACCAGGCTGGTTTTAGAGGGGTTTTGGCCACTTCCAGGCTGGTTTCCAGCCAGGTCTTAGCTGGTCTGGCTGGGAGATGACCAGCTAAAAGCAGCTTGACCAACCTAGCCAAAACCAGCTTTGTCCATCTTAAACCAGGCTGGTCATGCTGATTTTAGCTGGTCATTTTCCAACTTGACAGGCTAAGAAGTGGCCAAAACCCCTCTAAAACCAGGCTGGTCAACCAGCTAAAACCAGCTCAGGCTGGTTTAAGCTGGGTTTTTTTCAGTAGGGGGATAAATTGGCGGTTCATTCCGCTGTTAAACAAAAAAGGGACTAAGCCGAAGGAAAATGAATGACTGAACTTTCACTATTAAACTTACCTATTAAATTTTAGCATGGTCTCCAGAGGGACCCATCCGTCGTCTAACTGCAGCTGCTCCTTCAGAAACTTGTCTCTTGGGAGATTATGGTCACCAAAATAATACTGAACACACAGAAATATGGACAATCATATCATTCATCTGAATTGGCGATGGGAAATCAGCATATTTTACATGATTATCATCATCTCACCTCAATCTGCTCCGCCACCTTCTTCTCCAGGGGAGACATTTCCTGATTGTCAGCCATCTTTGCTAGAATCACAACAAACTAAACATAATTAATTAATCAATTAATTAAAAAAAGGAAGTGCAGAAATGCAAGAATACAAACGGTCTCTGCTTTGAATTATTTTAAAAACGCACATCACACAAGCCATAGTATTCAAACAGAGACTGAATGCTCTGTAATATAAACTCTGTATGAACTTCTGAACCCGGAGCGAGTTTGATTTCCAAACCACGTGTGAGTACAGCAGATCTGTGCACTTTCTATTTTAGCATCCACACTTCACTGTTTAAACTCAAATGTCCAGAAATAAAGAGCGTTAAAAATAACATGCCTGCACGCTACAAATTGAGTCAAAAAAATAGTATAAATGTTGGGATAATACTCGTTTATGGAGCATGTACGCGCCACATGTCGCAGAATGACACTGAAAAAACGTCGCGCGCTCGCTCTGTCACTGTTTTCTCACTGTCCGACCTGAAATTTCAAAACATAGTAAACTCCAAAAAAGAAGTAGTGCTACAAAAATCACCATACTTACTTTATTTGCGCTCTGTTTTTGTCTGATAGCGATGAAACGCCACACTCAACGCCGAGTGAACGTGAAGTGAGGTATGCCGTCGTGGAGTTATGACATCATTTAGACCGAGTTGAGAACTATGGGAAATGTAGTTGAATCAGGACATCCACAATTTTTCAAACGGTTTCATCCTATTTCGATCAAAAATGTATGCTATTATTAAACTACATGCTAAATTAAAAGTATTTTGTATGTTTTGAATCATCAATTGCTTATTAATGAGTGAATGTGAGTGAAAATCATATAAAGATTTGAATGTGGTAGCCCACTAATGCATTTGGTCAGGACTTTTTTTTTAATAAAAAAAAAAAAAAATAGAATAAAAGACTTATGAAAACTGAGAATGGTATATATGATGTTATTATATTGACAAAACAAAAGTCTTGTAAATGTTAAAAACAGGAAACACATTTCCCTTTTTAAAATGGTTTTGACACTGATATATATATATATATATATATATATATATATATATATATATATATATATATATATATATATATATATATATATATAATCATGTCGACATATCCAGATATGTCCCTACACCTATATATATATATATAAGAAATGTGTAACTTTTTTAAATGATCATTTCTTTTTTAGAAAAGTTTAACAATGTGAACAAATTAATTTGAGTGTCAATGGAATTTTTGACTTTATATTTAATACAGTTGGACAAAATATTATAATATTTAAAAAAAAGACTTAATATAATGATGAAGGTGAATGTGCATTTTCATTCACCCATGTAACATCACTTTATTTTAAATAATTTGTTTGAATATTTCAAAAATACTTAGTTTAAATAGATATTTTATTAAACTACTTTACCCAACCCTTTGAGTTAAGTATTATCATTTACTAATAATTCACATATTACAAGTAATGTTTTTCTTATAGCTCAAGAGGTTTGAGAGGCCAGGGATAGTTCACCCAAAGATTAGTTTGTGCTCTATTTTATCCGATAGCAATGAAACAGCTCACTCAACACCATGTGAACGTGAAGTGAGGTCTGCCGTCGCGTAGTTATGACATCATTCAAAGACTGAGTGGAGGATTCTGGGAAATGAAGTTTTATCACGACATTCACAATTTTTCAAACTGTTTCATCATAATCGGATCAAAGATGTATGCTATTTTCGCATTAGAGAGTTAGAACGTGACGACTGAATATTAAACTAAAAGCATTTTGTATGTTTTGAATCATCGATTGCTTAATAATGAGTGAATGTGAGTGAAAATCATATAAAGATTTGAATGTGGTAGCCCACTAATGCATTTGGCCAGGAATTATAAAAATTGAGAATCGTATATATGATGGAATTATTGACAAAATAAAAGTCTAAAAAGTGTTAAAAACAGAGAAAACACAACATTTCTCCTTTTAAATTCAGTTTTGACATTAATATATATATATATATATATATGCATGAACTACCCCCTTTAATACCATTCGACTCCACAAAGTGCTGGATCACTCACCATAACTTCATTAGTGCTTCGCTGAATTACAGTGTAGCCGTCCACTCCTATTACACCTCCAGTCAGACAACAAGAGACAGGCCATAATTCAGTGGTTATTTTATTCCTTTTCAATAGGACACTAAACATGTGCATGGCCTGTGTGCAGATAGTACAAAGGACACAAGATCTGTCGTAAACATTAACAGGAACAAGCTCTGGTTTAGGAGAACGCGCCTCATGTAACTGCATTTTCCTGACAGATGTAAATCCTCAACACCTGACAGTTCTCCGTTCATCTCTGAGTAAATATTCAGGTTCAATCAGGAACAAACATTCACAACACTGTTTATCTAAATCGAGCACGTCTCACCCAAAAACTGCTATCAGCAGCACAGCACGGGTTACGACCGCTCGGATGGCTTTTAAACATCTCTTGCACAAGAGTCTCTGTTGAACATTTAGTTGGGGAAAAAGGTATAACGGGGACATGATTCATTTCTATAGGCTTGCTCTATATATTAGATATTTGTATTTACATATTAGAGTATTTTCATTTCATATTAGTAGCAAATCGCAGTGTTAAAGGCCTTCAGGGCTGCATTTCTTCTTATAACGCGACAATATGTAGGCATATTAAAGGGATTTCTTTGTTAATCATGCAGATTTGAACAAATAAATATTTAGCCAGCATGTTAAAACATTAACATTTTGTTCGTTTCAAGATTACGCAGCAAACCTCAGTGGATTATATATTGAGCACCTCTCACTGGTAAATAGATGTGATACAAATCTAAAGTGAGCTTATTTGACAATTTAATAAATTTAAAGGGCACCTATTTCACCCTTTTTTAAAATTTAAGGTAAGTTTCATGTGTCTCCAGAATGTGTCTGTATAGTTTCAGCTTAAAACACCAATCAGATTATTCATTATAGCTTCCTGAAGTTTGCAATTTCAGCTCTGAACATCTCGTAGCTGTTTTTGTTGCCTGTGCCTTTAATGCTGGTTTTCCCCGCCCACCGCTCCCACGTGCCTATCAGAGTGTGTCTCGATCTCCGGCTGTGATAAACAGCACAGTGACAAGCAGATCTCACGTAATGTTTCTTAGAATAACTACGGTAAGAACTTTCCCAATGATTATTTGTTGTATTTGTTGTGGAGTTAATTCAAGCCTTTCTGTAATTATAATCACACACAATGTTGTTAAGCACACAGCTCATGCGTTTAACTTTGAACTGTTTTTGCATGGCAAATGTGACAAGATACAGGTTAATATCTACTGCTGTACATATCTATTATGTTAATGTACAAAATTTAACGTCCACAAACCAGGATTGAAGCGTCTTCTTTTATAATTGTACTGACACTATGCGGCTGTGGTGATAAAGATGGTAAAATTGCTGTAATTCATTACAAACATGCACTGTATTAAAACGCTTTTAACTTGTGAAACTCATTCCTGATCACATTTGATAATGATTGATGATCACAGAAAGCTGAACAGATCTTTTAATCCCAAATGCTTTGCGCACGTCCTGTCTTGTTGATATGATTATACGCGTTACTATGTTAATATGAGGCTGTCAATCAAATCCGTGGGCGGGGAAACCACACTCCTATGTCACGTTGTGGTCTGCCTCAAAATGGGAGGGATCTAGATCCTATTTTAACATTAGGAAATTAAAAAAAAGAGACTTGTTGTGTTAATATCACACTAAACCTATACTCAGTTCTGTCCAAACAGCTTACTAAAGATGCTATTCATAATAGGTGCCCTTTAAATCCTTTTAGTTTATTTTAAAATATTCCAGACGAATTGCATATAGTCATATTGAATGTAAATTCTCATATATATATAACACTTTACAATTAATTCTCATTCGTTTAAACATTATTTAATGAAGAAATCGTGAATAATGCCTCTGTGGCATTTATTAATCTGTTATAAACTCAACAATTACTTTTTAGTCATTTAAGCTTTTTTAAATTAAGAGTCAGCATTAGTTGTGCTATGAAAACACAGCTGTGTAAACATGATTCTTTTATATTAGTCAATGCATTCAATGAAGGAAACCTTATTGTAAATTATTAAAAATATACAGATATTCTCATGTTATATTAACGAGTTCATTTGAGGATGGATTATATATACAGTTGAAGTCAGAATTATTAGCCCCCCTGTTTATTTTTTCCCCAATTTCTGTTTAACATAGAGATTTCATCAACACATTTTTAAACATAATAGTTTTAATAACTCATTTCTAATAACTGGTTTATTTTATCTTTGTCATGATGACAGTAAATAATATTTGACTTGATATTTTTCAAGACACTTCTATACAGCTTAAAGTGACATTTAAAGGCTTATAAAGGTTAATTAGGTTAACTAGGCAGGTTATTGTAATTAGGCAAGTTATTGTATAACGATGGTTTGTTCTGTTGACTATCAGGGGAAAATAGCTTAAAGGGGCTTATAATTTTGACCCTAAAATGTTTTTTTTTTTTTTTTTTATATTAAAAACTGCTTTTATTTGAGCTGAAATAAAACAAATAAGACTTTTTCCAGAAGAAAAAATATAATCATATATCAAAAATAGAAACATACTGTGAAAATGTCCTTGCTCTGTTAAACATCATTTGGGAAATATTTAAAAAAGAGAAATAAGTTCAAAAGGGAGGCTAATAATTCTGACTTCAACTGTATATATAAATCTCACAAAATTATTAATCTGTTATAATCTCAACATTTACATATGTTTTTAAGATCGAGAGTGGTGTTTGTCAGCAATAGTGAATGCAAAGTAGGGTTGTCGCTATACCATTAGTTAATCTTACGATACTAAACCAGCTAAAGTATCACAATACCAAGTTGTATTGCGATACCGTAATTCATAACTGAAATTATAAAGAAAATGACAAGAAATATCTTTTTTTATGTTATAATAGGCTTACTTGAATTTGATGCATGATTCCCTTAAGAACAAAAAGTATTATCTGCACCTCACTTACAACAAAAAATACATTAAAATAAAGATACAAATTATACCAAATGAAATTTGTTACAAAAAAAGAGCATTTTTCCAACAAAATTAGGCCAAATGAAGTGGTCAAAAATTGTTTCCTGTTGCTATTTTGGGTTTTCATCTATATATTTTTTTCAGTCTTATCAGGTAACAATCCAAAGTAATTCAAAATTTCCCTTTGTGAGTCTTTCTTTTAAAGAGAGTCGCGGTTGAAGTAGCTACTAAATCATATTAACAGGAACAGAAATGAACAGATGTGCGTTCGAACTGATGTGTTAGAAAACATGCAATACGCTACCATAAAAGGCGCCAATTCTACAGTTTTGCAACCTTAAAGGGCTCCACAGACTATAAAAATAAAGTGGTCTATTGTTGCGCAAACGAGTGATCTTTTTAGTGTCTTTTCCACATGCAACGTTATTAATTGTAGATAAACTATTAATCACGATACCACCTTTCGCAAACTACAGTAGCATCGCCAGTATTTTGGAGCCATAGTATCGCGATACTACCATAGTTCTACCGGTAAACCGTGCAACCCAAATGCAAAGTAGGAGAGTTGATTACATATTAGTGAATGCATTCAATGAAGGAGAGACCTTATTGTAAAGTGTTACCAATATACAGACATTACTTTATACTCAAGTAATTTTATCAAGTAGTTTGAGGATGAATTTATATATAATCTATATATAAATCCATACGTTTATATGTAAATCTATCTCACAAAAATATGAATCTGTTATAATCTCAACATTTACATATGTTTTTTTTAAAGATCAACATTAGTTAATGCACAGTGAAGTAGCATTTGTAAAGGTTAATAATTGCTGATAATTGTTTACATATTAGTGAATGCATTCAATGAAGACCTCATTGTAAAGCGTTACGTTACCAAAACACCCAAGTTACCTAATCAAGTTGTTTGACGGACGCTTTCAATAATCGTGTCGGAATCTCACGATATTGCTCATAACACTATATATCACTCAATTAGAGCTCTTAATTCCTGAAGGATTTCTTTGGCACTAGTCCAGGGCATAATTTTGGCCCTGAGCTCGTTTGAACCCTCAGAAATGCCTTTGCGCAACAGTTTCTCCAGGGTGAATCCTTTCCTTGGCATTGCAATGTCGCCCTCTGTCAGCTCTTTAACAGGGCAAAAGTCGTTTCCTCCGTCTCCTATATAGCAAATCCGCTCATAACGCAGGCCATCTTTCGCCCGGTTCTCCGTGAAATCCCGCAGCACCCTTCTCTTGCACAGGTTTACCGGACACTCTTTACAGGCATGCGCGTGGAAGCAGCGCAAGCTCACGTACCCGCGCGCATCGATGTTCGCGGGGTTGCTGAAGACGTCATCTACTGCGGATTTCAACCCCGACGCCTGCAAAGCCCAGTCTATGAATAAAGTGTTCGAGTCGGAGATGATAATGCAGTCGATGTGCTTCTTATTCTCGGATATGAAGGTCAGGAGCTCGGTCATGCCGTCGGTGAACGGGATGCTCTCCATGACCGCGCGCATGTGCTCCGGCCGGACGGACTGGTCTCCGATGTAGGTCAACACTCGACCCATATATTCGGTCCACCTGCCCCTCTGGTAGGACTTCTCCAGCCAGTCCGGTAACTTCTGGTCGGGGGTGCAGCGGATCACCCAAGTGTCGCTGTTTTCATCCACTATAGTGTGATCGAAGTCGAACACTACTAAGGTCTTCATTCTGCACTGGAAATAACAACACAATAATCATCATGACACGACAGTTTAATGTTTACATGTAATACTTAATTCTTAGCTAGTCAAAGAATGAGAATTGAGTTTAAGCAAATTAGATATGTACCGACCTGAAGCGGCAGCCCGACCGAATTACCTAATTCCGTTAACGATTCTGAGTCAGACACTTGCTTACAACACAAAGCGTGATTAATCCCCGCCTGTTTAGAGCTGCGGCTTGCCAGTGATAGGCTACAGCCCACGTCACTCAAAAGTCTTGTGACGATGTGATTGGTCGCTGCAATCGTATGGACGGGAATCGTTCTTGCTTGCTTTCTGTTTCTTTATAGTCATTCAATACATAAGGCGAGTAGTTCAGAACTTGATCTGAGAAGTATGAATTCTGTTCATATCTTAAATTAAAAACGCACTCATTCATTGTAAGTGTTTAAGAACAGATTGATTGCAAGATACAACGCTTATTTGCTGACATGAATAGTGTAATAAATACTGATAGATATGACCTCACTTCCTCATTTAAGCAATGTAACAGTTACATCAACAGTTGTTTTTGTATTATATCTGAAAAGTAAAAGAGATGAACGAGGCATTGTATAATTAAATATGCACCGATTTGAATAAATTACACAAATCTGAACACTGGATAAAGCTATCTACAAAAAAAAAAAAAAAAAAAACATTAAAATGAAGCAAGATTTATTAAAAAAAATACATATATACAACAAGCATCGTTCATCAACCCATAAAACTGTCAGCAACGAGATACAAACTCAAGATTTTAGAAATAAAACATTGACCTTTCTGGTAAACGACAAAAACACCTGTAAAATGGAGATTTCTGGCTCAGTGCACTGAAAGATATGCTCATTTTAAGAGATGTATTACAAAAGTAATGGGCGGCACTGTGGCACAGCGGGTAGCACTGTCGCCTCACAGTAAGAAGATCACTGGTTTGGGCCCTGACTGGGTCAGCTGGAGTTTCTGTGTGGAGTTCGCATGTTCTCCCCGTGTTGGCGTGGGTTTCTTCCGGTTGCTCCGGTTCCCCCCACAAGCCCAAAGTCATGGCTATAAGGGAATTTGGTAAACTAAATTGGCCGTAGTGTACGTCCATATCCTCCAGGTTTAGGGTTGAGCATTGGGCTAACGGCCCATCTTTTTTTTGTGATCAAATTTTTATTTAATGGTTGAAAATAATCTAGCAAACATAGTTATAGACAAGGACACCTGGCTAAAACTGCATTTTCTGTTAGTACCTGCACCCCACTCACCCCTGGCGAAAATAAAAATTAACAAAAAATGAAATAAATCAGAGAAAAAAAATGAGAGAGAATAATAATAATAATAATAATAATAGTAAGGAACGGTATAATAAATAAATACAAAAATAAATAAATCAACCTCTGCATTTAACTTCTTACAAGAACACTTTTAACAAAGGTAGATACATCAGACTTTTACCCATAGGTTATACCCATACAAAAAAAAAATCATGATAGCATGTCTTTTATGTTAGTTATTGCACATTTCCATGAAGTTATAGTTTTTGTAGAGGCGCCATGCATCCTTGCCAAAGACAGTTCCATATGTGCGTTGTCTAAGAACATATACATCCAATGATTCCGGTCCAGTGTGGAGGCTGCCAACATAAACTAACGACCCATCTTATAAAATTAGATGTTACGAAACATCAACATAGTGCGATGTTGATTTCAATTTCGATGTAAATGGCCCTAGAAGCAAGTAAATATTACAAAAATAGGCTCAAATCCATTATTTAGGTCATGAAATTAGTATTAATTAATCCAAACCAAGCAAAAGAAGTAAAGTTTATTTATAAACTAATTTGGAGAGGATGATGTGCTTATAATGCCGGTCCCGCATTATTCAATCCATGATTGACCAAGCAGACGATTCCTAAGCCACTATAAGTACCCTCAGTTCCATATAACAGCCATCTTCATTTTGAAGAATCCCCCCTTTCACCCCTACTCCTTTCCTAGATGGGTGGCACGGTGGCCAAGTGGTTAGCACGTGTTGCCACATTGCAAGAACGCCGCTGGTTCTAGTCCTTACCAAGCCAACTGACATTTCTGTGTGGAGTTTACACGCTCTCCCCATGCTCATGTGGGTTTTCCCCGGGTTCACCGATTTCCTTCAACCATCCAAAAACATGCGACTTAAGTTAAATGACTAATCCAAATTGGCACCATAGACATGCTCCTAATAAATAGTTATCTCCAAAGAGCAATGACTCTCTGTTCATTAGCTACTAGAGCAGGGAAGTTCTCCAGATCTACCTGAGCTCAAACACCCCTCTCGCCTTTTAAACGGGAGGGAGCTTATTAGCTCAGGGCCCTCTCCCGGGACAGCATGCCAAACAAGCTTTATAATCAATCATCAGCTAAGTGTGAACTCTTGAAATACATAAATCAATATGTTGTCAACAAACAGCACTGACAGCAAAGCTCACAGGTTCAGTATCAATTTTTTATTTGTCAAATTCAGCCGAACCCAACATGGTGATCTCTTTACAAACATAAAGCCCTTACAAAACTCCAAGGTACGCAAACATGACCCCGACCAACCCCTTTTAAAAAACAGCTCAGCTCAGATGAAACAAACAAAAAGTAACCATTGTTTTAACCAAGGGACTCACTAAACGTTTATGTGGTGTAGGGATCAAGAACATGACAGAAGACGAGATAAAAGCCGAACAAATACAACAGCAGATTCATTCCAAACCAATTTGTGTCTATCAATCTTTAAAAAATACTCCAGACGTTGAGGATCAGGCCATGTCTAGCAGAGTTGAAGACTAAAATCAGTCTCTTGGTATGGTTGTAAATCTCTGATGTTTGTGTGGCGGGAAAACAAACGTAAATAAAAGCATTGATTCTCAGTCGCTGTCGCTAGAAGAGGAGTCCTTTTTCTTTGCATCCTTTCTCGGGCTTTTCGATTTGTCCTTAGCTCTCTCTTTCGATTTGGGGCTGTCGCTTGTTTTTCTTTTCTTGCGTTTATCGTTGTCAGAGTCGCTGCTTCCCGTGTCGCTCTTGTCTTTCCTCCTCTTCTGTCGATCCTCTCGCTCTCGGCTGCGCTGTTTCTGAGAGGAGCGTTCTTTGGAGCTGCGGTCTCGTCCTCGTGTTTCTCTGCTTTTATTGTCTGCACTCTTCCTCCGGTCTTCTGCGTCTCTGCCTCGAGCTCGCTCTCTGCTTCGTGAGCGGCGGGATGTTTTTCGGTCTCGGCTGCTGCTGTGTCGTCTGTCGCGGCCTCTGTCTCGTGATTGTCCCCGTTGTCCGCGTCCTCTCGATCGGGATCTCCGTGAAACATCGCGACCCTTTTCTTTGCTTCTGGATCGCTCTCGTTCTCCGTTCTTCTTCTTTTCCACCTCCTTCGATTTCTCCTTTTCTCCGTCTTTGGCTCTTTCTTTGCTTCGGTCTTTCTGTTCGACCTCTTTATCATTTTTCTCCTTTCTGTCTTTTTCTTTGCTAGTCGAGCGTCCTCGCTTGTCATCAGGCTTCTTGCTCTTTTCTTTCTCCCTCTTCTTGTCTTTGCTTTTGCTCCGGCTGCGAGATTTCTTCTTCTCCGCATCGGCGTCTGGCTTTTTCCGAGCGTCCCTTTCTCGGCTTTTGGAGCGATGTTTGTCTCTCTTTCGGTCTCTTCCTTTGGAGGGACTGCGTGATTTGTCCCGCTTTGAAACTTTCTTTTCTTGCTCAGAGTTCTTCCTTGCTGTGTCTTGCTTGTCTCCCCTAGCCTTGTTGACGCTGCTTAGCTCAGTAGTTTTCGTCTTTTCCTCTGACATATCTCCTCTGAAATGTAAAAACACATATTAAATGTTTAACTGAGTAGGGAAAAATACATTTAAAGTGCATTTTCTGATGGCTTGTTTCCACTGAGTGGTACGATTTCCAATGCCAAATGGCTAATTTTCACTGAGCGGTACAATACGGGTCACCTTTATCAGGTTTGCGCTCCCACTGCTATGGTACCCTTTTGGTTTCAGTCAACAGTCAGTTTCAGTCAACGTCATTCACCCTAAGGAAATGTCCAAGTAAAGCTGTACGGGTCTTTCACATTTCATATGAGAAGCACTCCTCACAAAACAGATGCTTTATAAACATAAGTACAGTATAAATGTTCACAACACGCAATATATAGCCCACAGTCTCTATCTTTATCTTTAACCTTCACCAGCACATGTAGCCTCTGTTAGAGAGTTATTCTATGGACTATTATGAACTGAAAATAACGGAATTACTTTCTAACAGAGGCTACATGTGCTGGTGAACATTAAAGATATTGATGAGAGGTCTGCACTGACTGTTGGCTATCTGTTGCGTTGCTTTTGAACCCAAATAAGGACTAAATGTCTGCTGTGTGTAGTTTTTCTGTAATTAGTTACATATCAGAGTCTGTAAGGGTCTGTTTGTGTTCATATACGTTGCATTTATTTTATTTTTTTTATATAACTGCAGACATTATAGTAGGCTATTTCACACTATCATTAATCTGCAGTTAAGATCAAATCATGTTCATAGAAAGGTTAGTAATGAACATTTATGCACCAGTATTTGTGTATAAAGCATCTGTTTTGTGAGAAGTGCTGCTCATATGATATGTGAACGACCCGTACAGCTTTACTTTGACATTTCCTCGTGCAAGAATGATGTCGATTAAAACTTTGTCATGCACCACGCCATTGGTACCCTTTTGAACTAGTCTACTACAGTCCATCTATGGACAGCTGAGATTGATATCACATTTAGTTAAAAAAAAAAGGGACATATTAGGATACTTTTTAAATTGGTGCAATCTTCACTACACAATACTGGACATAATATCTGCATGTAATGTCAAATTGGACATACTTGTCTCCTTTAATCCACCGCTCCTGGGAAGCAGCTAAATTGGCTTTAGCTTTCTGTGTTCTTTGCATTTCATGCCTCCAGTGTGGAGGAGTCTCACTGCGGCGAAACCGATCCCAGGACCGCGAGCGGGATCGAGACGGTGTCCGATAGCGCTACAGGAGAGAGATGGGAGAATAAAATATATATATATATATATAACCTCTTAAGGCCCAAGGTGTTTTTTTACATGCATTTTTTATTTCTCTTTGATATTTGG